CAGACAGAGTTTTGGGAGTAAGTAAACTCCTCAAACACTTTCCAAGTGTCTTCAAGTTACCAGAGACCTACTGTAGACCTTTGGGACACAAGATGAGTAAGTCATGGTTCCTGCCTTGAATAAGCTCATGGTCTAGTAGGGTAAAAGGTGAAACAGACACAGAAATACATGATGTGCCCTCTAAAGTGGTCAATTACGTGGGATTTTAGAGGAAACTCTGTCAGTGCTCAGTTGGGTCCGACTCTTTGAGACCCCGTGGATTGCAGACTGCNGAGACCCCATGGATTGCAGACTGCCAGGCTCCTCTGTCCATGGGATTTTCCGGGCAAGAATACTGGACTGGGTTGCCTCTTCCTACTCCAGGGGGTCCTGACCCAAGGATCAAACTTGAGTCTCTTGCATCTCCTGCATTGGCAGGCAGATTCTTTACCACTGTGCCACCTGGGAAGCTTCAGAGGAGTGGTTAGGACAATTTGAAGATTCCAGGGAGCCTTTCTGAAGAAGAAGCTGCTGGAACTGTTTCACTGGAATATGAGGAGGAGTTGGTTGGGTGAGCCTAAGAGAAAGCGGCCCTGAGGGGGGCTGGCATTCTAGGCAGAGAAATAGCCCATGTGACATGATGGAAGCATGTCCTCATACTGTGTATAGTTGGGTATTGAATGGGTAGAGACCAGGGTAGGAATGTGCTAGAAAAGGGAATGGAGAAGCAGGTAGTGGCTGGGTCATAAAAACTACACATTTAAATGTCTTGATTTTGTTCTTGTAATATGGGGGAATATAGAAGAGTTTTTTAAGAAAGAGGTGTCATGGTCAAATGTCCATTTTAATTCCATCATTGTCATACCAATCTAGAAACTGAATAAAAAATAGTGAAGGGAAACCTATTAAGAAGGTATGGGAAATGTTTATGCTAAAAAGGTGCTAAGAGTCTAAGCAAGGAGCAAAACAAAGGGCAGAGGAACAGTCAATTTTTGTGCATAACACCATCAGTACATTAATTGAATCAATAATAATAATATAGGAGCAACAGTAAGATTCAGGCAGCTACAGACACAGAAAATACTTCAATCTATTTAATAAAGATGGAAGCATTAACTGGATAATAAAACAAAGTGTAATGGCCATGGCTGTGGGACTGGCTAAATCAGACCTCACCGGTGGCAACACTGAGTTTTCATTGCTGTTAAGGGACCTCCCTCATAGCTTAGATAGTAAAGAATCTGCCTGCAGTGAAGAAGGCCTGGGTTCAATCCCTGGATCAGGAAGATCCCCTGGTGAAGAGAATGGATACTCACTCCAGTATTTTTGCCTGGAGAATTCCATCGACAGAGGAGCCTGGCGGGCTACAATTCATGGGGTCCCAAAGAGTCGGACATAATTGAGCAACTAACCCTTTCACTTACATTTATGAACACATTATTGTTGATTACTGTCTTCCTTCAGAAGTATCACTTGTATTTTATGTGTCTCTACAAATATTTTGCTGGTGCCTGAATAAACTGGTGTAATAGAAAGTAAAAAGAAGAGTGAAGGAGAACATAGGCTCCAAATACAGGGTGGGAGGTATGATTGGCAAAGATTAGAGCATGAACGAACATAGCCATTCACTAAAATAGTGTTTTCATGGGAAGAACGTGACACAGCAAGGGAAGGTGACAAACTCAGTCTTGACTAAGTGAAGACAGCAGTCAGTTTAGCTCAGTCGCTAAGACATGTCTGACTCCTTGCAACCCCATGGATTGCAGCACACCAGCCTTCCCTGTCCATCACCAACTCCCGGAGCTTGCTCAAACTCGAGGATTGCAGTATTTATGAGGATATTCAAATAGTTCTATCCAGCAAGCATCTGAATCATGAGAGACTTCCAGGCTAGAGATAAAACATTCCATATCCTCAACAAACACATAACCATCAAACATAAGAAAGGATCCTATTACTGAAGAATTACTCATTCATTCATTCATTAGTTGATTCATTCACAGGCAGAGCACAGAGGAATTTAAGGGCAGTGAAAATCCTGGGATACCATAATGATAGATTTATGCCATCACTCATTGTCCAAAACCATACATTGTAGAAAACCAAGAGTGAACTATGATGTAAATTATAGAGTTCGGGTGGTTATGACATTACAATGTAGCTTCATCGGCTATGACAAATGTACCACTCTGGTGAAGATGTTGCTGACGGGGGAGGCCATGGATGTGTGGGGCAGGAGATATAAGGGGAATCTTCGCATTTTACTCTCAATTCTGCTCTGAACTTGAAACTGCTCTAAATAAATAAAGCCTTTTTCAAAAATTAAAAAAAAAAAGATTCATTCACATATTCATTTATTCAGCAAATACTTATGAGTACCTGCTACATGGCAGGCACTTTTATTTTTTATCTTGTTTTTTTAAAGATGCTTACTTAAATTTATTTTTAATTTATTTTTGGCCACAGATCATCCCATGCAGAACCTCAGTTCTCTGATCAGGGATCGAACCCATGCCCCTGCAGTGGAAGTGCAGATTATTAACCACTGGACCACCAAGGAAGTCCTGACAGACACTGTTAAATGCTCAGTGGTTGAAATAGTGAATAAACTTACTCTTCCTTAGATACTGTGACTTTCAAGCTCTCCTCCTCTCCATAATTTGATATCTGATCCTTGCAGTAGTGTGGACAGAGAAAGAGAAGAGCTCAAAGAGACCAAAAGAAGAGGTGGACCCAGAGAAGCAGGCTCCCAGGTCAAGGAAAGAGAGAATATTATGCCTTTTCTTCACTTTCTGCTGCTACCTCTTTGCTACAGATCCTTAGTACACGATCTATCTTGTCAGCCTGATAAAAGTTCTCTCTATTCCTGTCTTTTTTGCCTAACCATCCATCCAACTCATTGCTGCCAAAATAATCTTGCACAAACACATTATTGTTCATGTTATTCCCCTGATCTAAATGCTTGAGGGGCTGCCCAGCGCCAGTCAACTTAAGTGCAAACTCATTAAGCTGGTATTCAAATTTCTCAACAATATGGTTCCAATCAAACGGCTCTTTTATTAATCTGCCCAAAACATGTTCTCTGAGATCCAGTCAAGTTGGCTTGATCACTCTTTTCCAAGTTTAATTTTTTTCCCCCATTTTGGCCATGAATTCCCCTCTATGTTGTCCAAATTTTATCTGTTCTTTAAATCTCAGTTCAGTTGTCTCCTTCATAACCTATTTTGGTCAGAACTCCTACTCTGCTTTTTTTTTAATCCCATTTTTTATTCTTTTTATTAGAATATATTAGCATTAACACTGTGTTGATAATAGCATCAACGTTAGAAACTGTGTTGATGTCAGTACTGAGGACATCCTTAAGAAGGGAACAAAGGAACTACGTTCCAATGCTTACTGAAATCTTCTTAACCTACCCTTGATTTTCTTCATTGTAAAAGGGGCAGGGAAAGTGTAGGGGTTTGGGAGATGGCTCAAAGGAGGAAAACGGCATGCTATATTCTGCACATCTCTGGATTTAATATTTGCAGGCAATACAGAAGGTCCAGAATGTGGAATAACTCTTAAGGCCATTCAGCCAGAACTTGGATCATGGGTTACAAAGCTGATGTTCTGGCCAAGTCATTTAGATCTTATCCTGCTTTGACCAGTTAAACTCTTGTAATGTTTCATCTGGAGAAGGAAATGGCTACCCACTCCAGTATTCCTGGCTGAAGAATTCCATGGTCAGAGGAGCCTGGAGGGCTCAAATAGGGGCCTGGAGGTCCATGGGGTCTCAAATGGTCGAACATGACTGAGCAACTAATACACACACACACACACACACACACACACACACACAGTATTTTACCCATGGTGATGCTGTTTGTATTATAGATACTTGTATGTTATGTCTACAATCTCTACCATATTTTAAGAGCTATGAGAGGGGAGAATATACTCAATGTGTTTTTATGATCATTACCTTGCATAGGGAACCCAGTAGTTGTTACCACACATTTGATAAATGTAAGTGAACTCCCAAAGATATGAAAATATTTAAAAGTATATATATATATGGAAATATAAAAATATAAAGATCTCTGACCCAGGGATCAAGCCCAGGTCTCCCACATTGCAGGTAGATTCTTCATTGTCTGAGCCACCAGGGAAATCCCATAAAAGCATTTATTAGAGCACTGCAGTAATAGAAAATATTTGAGATTATCTGATTATCTGTAGAGAGCTTCCCTGGTGGCTCAGAGGGTAAACAATCGTCCTGCAATGCAGAAGACCTGAGTTCAATCCCTAGGTTGGGAAGATCCCCTGGAGAAGGGAATGGCAACCTGGGGTTGCAAAGCGTCCGACATGACTGAGGGACTAATACACACACAGAATTATCTATAAATAGGAAAACGGCTAATTAAGCTATGTCATGTCCAAATTATGGAGCTGTATGCAGTAGTTTTTTTCTTGGTATTTTTTCTTTTAAAAATTTATTTATTTTAATTAGAGTATAATTGCTTTACAATGTTGTGTTAATTTCTGCTGTAAAACATGAATCAGCTATAAAGTGAAGTTGCTCAGGCTCCTTTGTCCGTGGGATTCTCCAGGCAAGAGTACTGGAGTGGGTTACCACTTCCTTCTCCAGGGGATCTTCCCAACCCAGGGATCGAACCCAGGTCTCCAGCATTGGAGGCAGACGCTTTAACCTCTGAACCATATGTATACATAAATCCCCTCCCTCCGGAGCCTCCCTCCCACTCCCCTTTTATTTTATAGATAAAAGAATTGAAGTCAGAGAAAGTGTTTTGTGACCTGCCCAAGTCACATGGCTGCTCAGTGACCCTCAGTCCAGGCCTCTTCCCATTTCATGACAGCATCTGTTTAGGAACCTTGAGTTGAGCCATCCTCCTCATATGGTCCCTGATGCTGGCATCACCGTTGTTATTCAAGATATAGACTCCTTTCTGGTCTCAGAAGTCTGTGTATTCACAACTCAAGGAAAAAACTAGAAGGCTGGAGCTGCCCACTTGACTTACCAGACGGAAGAGGGAAATAGTGTTCCCAGTGATGTTGTAGTGAGTCAGAACCTCGGAGGCAGTGCTGATCCCAAAAGACACGTCTTGGAAATTTTGCACCACACCATGGATTAGGGACGCTGCCGGTACTTCTAAATCCTAAAGACAAGAAGGAAAAAAAAGAAAGAAAGAAAGAAAGAAACCCACAGGTTGTTACTGGAGGAAAGAGACAGCGAAAGAGATTAGGGAGTAGAAATATGCTCACACATATCAAATCAAAGTGTCCAGTGAGACAACATTGACCTCTAAAAATGCAGGCTGGCTTCTCAGGGACATGGTTGAATTTTCCAGGCTGGGTGGGTTAATAGGTAACTATGACACAGTGGCTAAGTCTAGAACACCTATCTGGCTTTACCGCAGAACTTGTAGTTCGCTGGGCTTCCTTGGTGGCTCAGCTGGTAAAGAATCTGCCTGTAATGCAGGAGACCCAGGTTCGATCCCTGGGTTGGGAAGATCCCCTGGAGAAGGGGATGGCTACCCACTCTAGTTTTCTCGCCTGGAGAATTCCATGGACGCAGGAGCCTGGTGGGTTACCATCCATGGGGTCACAAAGAGTCAGACATGACTGAACGACTAACTTGTAGTTTGTTAATAGCTGAGAGGGGGCTCAAAATCATAAAGACCTGAATATCCACAGTCATTGATAAACCAAAGGAGGCAAATATTTGGGGAATAATTTGTGGTGGAAAGAAGAAACGTAAAAATCAGAAATAGGTGCTGTCAAAAGGACAAAAAAGAGAAAATGAAAAGAAGAGAAATTAAAGTGGAAGCTTAGAAGGTTTGTTAACAAGGCTGTGTAGGACGTTGGGGAGATGTGCTCTTTCCACTGTGTGTAAGCCATGAAGATACTGTTCAGGCGTTGCTCATCCTCTAGAACCAAAGCCTGCAGGACAGAGCAGGGAAGCCTGTTCTGAATGATGATTCCAGGCCTTCTTATTTCCCTGCACTCATGGGACCCTCATCCCCAGAAACTCTGGGCAACAAACAGCGGTGAACATCTTTGTCCTTGACATTTCTCTGGCAAGAGGAGATGTGCTCAGAGAAAAGATCATGGTTAGCCTTGCAGCTGGGGTCAGGCAGAGGGAGCTGGCACTGTGCTCATCCAAAAGGGCGTGTGGAGTTCATTTTAGGTTATGAACAATTGTTCTTCATGGTTTCGTTTTTTTTGTTTGTTTTTTTTTAAATCCACTCCTTAGAATGGAATTGCTCTCGGAGCAAATAGCGACACCTGGTGACCATTTGAGTTATCGCACCCTCCTCCAGTTTCACTTCCTTGCCACTCCGGCCTGAGTGTTGTAGGCTGCTGTTTTTGTCTACAGGTCAGATCGCTCATCACTGAAAAATTTGCCCCCAGGCCTCACACCCACTCCCCCACTCCACTCCTGTCTTCCTCCCCTACTTATATATCATCAGTTTTATTTCCAGCTGTGTACACAGAAAAGACAAGATGATGATGATTTGGAATTAATGAATAGAAACAGGCAAGAAGGTCTGAGAGGAGAAAGTAGGGGATTAATTAGCTGTGAAATCAGCAGATGTTACCTCCAGAGAAAAAGAAAAATGCTGGGATAATGCCTTCTCCTTTATGGTTGATTTTTTTTTAGCCAGGCAGCTAATCTGGAAGATAGAGGCTAAGACCTTCAATATGCAAATGTCATCTTTATTCAATATTTCAGAGCAAACAAATGAAAAAAAAAAAAAAGAAGAGTGTGTATGCATGCTCAGTTGCACAGTTGGGTCCAACTCTTTGCGACCCTATGGACTGTAACTCACCAGACTCCTCTGTCCGTGGGATTTCCCAGGCAAGAATACTAGAGTGGGTTGCAATTTCCTACTCCAGTGGATCTTCCCGACCCAGGGATTGAACCTGTGTCTCCTGCATTGACAGGTGAATTCTTTACCACGGAGCCACCTGGGAAGCACAGGAAGAATGGGGGGCTCCTTACTTGCTAAGAGGTTCTAGACTGGAGGCAGCTATTCACAAATGTGTTGCCTGATTGATACAAGCTGGTTTACTCTGGGCCCTGCCTTGGAAATTCAAATACTGACTGAAGCTTCAAAGCATGTACAGATGGGGAGACCCAGACAGCAGCCTCAGAACTCTTGAAACAAATATGAGAAAGATGTGATTCAGAGACTGGGAACGTCTAGAAATTGTGAGATCTTGATTGACAAGCTAAAATCAGACTCTGCTCTTTGACTTCTAAGGCAGTATCATCTGGCCGGCAAGTCACTAGCATGGCTCCCTTAAGGTAGGATATTTCTGGTTCTTTGGGAGAAGGGCAGGTGGCAATATCTGAACAAACCTGGAAGAAGCCTATGACAGCCACCTCAGCAGCAGCGATGAATTCCATGGCAGCTTGGACATCTGTGAGTCGCACAGGTTCCTGGGCACTGGGACCATCTAGACAGAGACGAGGGTAAGGGTGGGAGGAAGAGAGAGAGAGAGAGAGACAGAGAGTTTGCAGGTACCGAGTGGAGAAAAAGCAACTCTAAATCACAAGGGCATCTCTATTTTTCCTCTTCATGCTAAGGCCAAAGAGATTTGGGAGTGCAGATGTCATTCCAAGGTTTTATTTCTTTACTAACTTGTTGGGGGAGGGGGGACTTCTCTCATAATAACCTATTTTAAAATAATATTTATTTATTTATTTGGCTTCGCCAAGTCTTAGTTGTAGCACGAAGAATCTTTAGTTGAGGCATGTGGGATCTAGCTCCCTAACCATGGATCGAACCTGGGATACCTTGCATTGGGAGCACGGAGACTTAAGTCATGGGACCACCAGGGAAGTCCATGATAGCCTATTTCTTTCTTTTTTTCTTTTTTAGCCTATTTCTTAAGGATGCCAGACTCCCCTCTTCTCTGCTAGGCAAGGCAGATTTTTATCCAGCATCTCCTGAAAAGTTCCTAGGTTTGGGGAACAAATACCCAGAGTTCTACCAATATTCCCTTCCCTTCTTCCAATAACTCTTTCACCCCCTGGTCACTCAAGTGCTCCTTTCTTTTACCTGATGATTCCTGAACTTCTGCGGCAACTTCCGGGGACGGTTTGTATGTGAAGAGAAATAACAGAAACAGGCATCTGGACGGCATGGCTTCCACTTTCTTGCTCCTGTTCCACGCCCTGGTCTTGGTGTTTGGAGCCGCTGACTCAGGGCAGCCCACTCTGCAGTTAATGGATTGTGGCGTAATTTGTGCTCTGGGAACACTGCAGCTGACTCTGGGGCAGGGGGACCTTCAACTTTTGAGATAAGAGACAGGATTCAGTAACAGGGCCTCGGAACAAAACCAATCAGAAGAAAGTCAGGCTATTTCCTTTAAATAAAACAAAACATTCTATGCCAGGTGGTTGACTTAGACACTATGGACGTAGCAATCATGGTGATCTGATCACCTCTCCCAGCTTAGATTGTTAATATGAAAGATGGGCAGTTAAATAGATCGTTTAAATGTAAAATGGAAAGTGATTAAAAAATTGGGAAACTCACAGGGTGCTAGGAGAAGATGAACTACGGACATTTTGGACAATGATGGTGTCTGGTGAAAGCTTTCTTCCTGCGGGGGGCGCCCAAGCAGCGCGTGTGTGCACACTCGGTCATGTCTGACTCCAGGGAAGAATACTGGCTCCGTGGCCTTCTCCTTGGATCTTCCCCACACACGGATCGAACCTTCATCTCCTGCACTGGCAGGCAGTTTTACCACTGCACCACCTGGGAAGTGTGCCTAAGCAGAGTCCTGGGTAAAGAAAACTTTTCCAGGCAATGAAGGTGGAAAGGGAGTTTCGCGTAAAGAGCCAAAGCACTGAGATGCGAATGTGATGTGCAAATTACTAACAAAAGAATTATTAGTAATTGAGCATTACCAGAAAATGGAATAATAAATCTGGGCAGAAAGGCATTCTGAGGCCAGACCCCAGGGGACCTTGTATACTAAGCGTAGGCGCTTCAACTGTATTTTGCAGGTGATGGGAAGCCACTGAAGAGCTTAAGCAGGAGAGGAAGAATGCCTGATGTGGCCCAAGTGCCTGTGGAAATCCAAGGCATTCTCGTAGGCAAGGGATATGTAAGTCTCAAGCTTAGTAGAAACTTCTATCCATGGGTTTGCTAAGAGTCGGACATGACTGAAGCAACTCAGCATGCATGCACTATATGATAATAAAATACACTGAGGGACTTCCCTGCTGGTGCAGTGGATGGGAATCTGCCTGAAGATGCAGGGAACACAGATTCCATCCCTGGTCCAGAAAGATCCCACATGCCTTGGAGCAACTGAGCTCATGAGCCACAACTATTGAGTCCGTGCTCTAGAGCCCAGGAGCTGCAACTACCAAGTCTGTGCTCTGGAGACTGTGCTCTGGAACAAGAGAAGCAACTCCAATGGAAAGTCCAGGCACCACAATGAAGGGGAGCCCCTGTTCACCACAACTAGAGAGAGCCTGTGTGTAGCAAGACTCAGTGGGGCCAAAGACAGAAAAAAGAATGTAATTAATTAAAAAAAAGACTCCTTGCTTCCATTTGACCCTTGTTCGATCTCTGGTCAGGTAACTAGATCCTGCATGCCGCAACTAATATCCACCACAGCAAGTGAAAGTCATGTCTGACTCTTTGAGATTCCCTGGACTGTAGTCTGCCAGGCTCTTCTGTCCGTGGAATTCTCCAGGCAAGAATACTGGAGTGGGTTGCCATTCCCTTCTCCAGGGGATCTTCCTGACCCAGGGATTGAACCCGGGTCTCCTGCATTGCAGGCAGATTTTGTAAAGATTGTGACATCTGAGTCACCAGGGAAGTCACAGCAAAGCAAATTAAAAAAAAAAAAAGACCATGCTTATTAAAAAATAAATAAATACATTGAGATTTTTCTAGCATTTGCACTGAAACAGGGGGGTGAAACTGCTCCCAATGATGTAAAATCTCCTGTGCTGAGCTCTGCCCACCTCTTCCGAGGAAACGCATGAATGGGAACCATCCAGTTACCATATTTGCTTGAAGGGAGAATGCAGAGAAAGGAGGGTCTCAGTCAGCTCTTATAACTGCTTTATTCTTGTTCTCTTGTGCTGTTTACAGTGTCTCCCAGAAAAGGAAAACCCCAGTTGGTAGGGAACGTGATGAGGGACCTTCACTGAACCAGCAGTAACCACAGGAGAATCCAGGGGTGGGAGGGAGAGACAAGGACCTGAGGCAGAAGTGCTGTGCTAGTTTGCCCATCTTCTGATCTCCAGTTGCTCAAATGGGAATAAAAGAGGGAATATTAAATGACCGTCTATGGGACAGAGAACTTGGGAGATCTTGGCCATGATTAGGAGGGCAGGATGAAGGCCTGGATTTTAAGCATCTTGTTCGGGTATCACTGGGAGACACCGTGTGGGAGAGGGTGCAGTGCTAAGAGATAGTGGAGGGTGCTGGGGAAGGGGCCCAACTGTGACCAGGGAGGAGGGACCAAGGGCTCTTCTGGGTGGCAAAGACAGGCAGAGTGAAAGGCAGAGGCGCTCATTCTGTCCAGTCCTTCTTAATGGACAGGTTCCACTCCCAGGTGAGGTGGTCATGCTTGTCATCGTCGGTGAAGAAGGACTTGTTGTGATAAGTGCCTCGGGCCAGCATGCCCTTGGGGGCCTCCTCAACTGGAGTCAGAAACTCATATTCCTCTGGCCGAGGCCCATAGCTGCCCACCATGAACGTTGCTTTATCCACTGGGAAGAAAGAAGAGTTCATTAGGATGAGAGCCTGTTAGATGGAGACACTGCCCATGACAATTTGGAGCAGAGTTCACTGTGATCAAAGCCAAGAGCAATGGTTTCCAAGCCTGGCTAAATATCAGATTTACCTGGAGCACTCTTTTTTTTTTTCCCTTAAAAAACATTTTTTAAATGAAATCTCTTCATAGTGCAGTATACTTTGATCCACTGTCAATCTTATGGTTAGTACTGTTGTGAGTCCCAAGAATCAGTGTCTTTAAAACGCATCACAGCTGACTCTCAGATTCAGGAAAGCTGAGGAATCAGTGCCCGAAATCAATGGGGATCAAGACTCTATGGAGATGTAGCAGATTATATCAGAAAAAAAAAAAAATTCCAGGTACTCCAAAGGTACACACTTCCAGTTATAAAATAAGTAAGTCCAGGGATCTTCTCAACCCAGGAATCGAACCTGGGTGTCCTGTACTGCAGGCAGATTCTTTACCAACTGAGCCAGGAAAGCCCTAAAGTACAGTGTGGTGACCATAGTTAACGATACCACATTGTGGATTTGAAAGTTGCAGAGTTGATCTTAAAAGTTCTCATCACAGGAAAAAAAATTGAAATTGTGTGTGGTGATGGGAGTTAATTAGACTAATTACTGTAATTATTTTATAATATGTAAACATACAGGTCACTATGCTGTATGCCTAAAACTATTACAATGTTATATGCCAGTTATATCTCAGTAAAAAATCCTGAAACTAATTGAGACCTGAGTTCTGACCTCAGCTCTGCAACTATCTACGTTTTGGGGATTCTGTTTCTTTTCTATACAATACAGCTTGAGGATCTTTTATCTACAAACTATCATTCTGTGAATAGCTGCAAGAGATAAGGTAAAGCGTTGTGATCAGAATGAATGATATCATGAATGCAATAATTAGATGAAATAGGAAGACCAATAATTTGGTTAAAAAAAAAAGTATCGGTGAACTGAAACAGATGGTAAAAGTAGCCAACCAGAGTTATTAAAAGGTGAGCAACTGGGATATATATTAAAATTAATAAGGATCAGAAAGTTTATGTAAAGGTAGGTGGGCAGGCAGGTGACGTTTAAATTGGCTGTTATTTTGGATAAGTTTGGAAGACTAGCTGTAGACATCCTTGACGACCTTTTGCCCAAGTGACACATCAGAGTCTTTACACCCAAAGGAAAATAGGAAATCTTTTCTTGAGATTAGGTATTGGAAGAGCAAGGACGATCTTTCAGGTTAACAATCTTCTGCGGGATTTGAGTCATTAAGTAGTTCTTTATTTCATGCTAATTGATCATTGTCTTCCTTAGCCCTCATTGATGGATTTGATGGAACTGACCTATGCATTACTGCTTCACACCTCTAGGGGACGCTGTTTCACACCATCAGGTTAACGAAACGTTTCATCAGCCTTCCACCTTTCATTTTTCTCTGCTCTTATTAACAGAACACAACTGAACATGTACCATTTAGGTGCTGCTTGTCAAGAAAACTGTAGATTAAAGATGTGATATTATTTGTTTCAGTTACAAAGTGAAAGTGAAGTCGCTCAGTCATGTCCGACTCTTTGCAACCCCAAGGCCTGTAGCCTACCAGGCTCCTCCGTCCATGGGCTTTTCCAGGCAAGAGTACTGGAGTGGGTTGCCATTTCCTTCTCCAGAGGATCTTCCCGACACAGGGATTGAACTCGGGTCTTCTGCATTGTAGGTAGACGCTTTACCGTCTGAGCCGCTTTTCTTAATTCTAGAAAGAGGTTTTTTTTTTTCTTTCCTTCTATTCTTGGGCTAGGAAATTGAGCTACGAAGCCCACCCCTCTCCCCTGCCAACTACCCATCACATGCTACTAGCACCTCCCATTTGGGTAGGTCTTTCCTCTCTTGGATTTCTCTGACACTCAGGTTTTTTACTTGTGGATTCAGTTCAGTTCAGTCCCTCAGTCGTGTCCGACTCTTTGTGACCCCATGAATCACAGCACGCCAGGCCTCCCTGTCTATCGCCAACTCCTGGAGTCCACCCAAATCCATGTCCATTGAGTCGGTGATGCCATCCAACCATCTTATCCTCTGTCATCCCCTTCTCCTCCTGCTCTCAATCTTTCCCAGCATCAGGGTCTTTTCCAATGAGTAAACTCTTCGCATCAGGTGGCCAAAGTATTGGAGTTTCAACTTCAGCATCAGTCCTTCCAATGAACATTCAGGACTGATCTCCTTTAGGATGGACTGGTTGGATCTCCTTACAGTCCAAGGGACTCTCAAGAGTCTTCTCCAACACCACAGTTCAAAAGCATCAATTCTTCTGTGCTTAGCTTTCTTTATAGTCCAACTATTGCTTTTTAAAAAAATTTCAAGAGTACATTTACGTACTTGAATTCAAACTTGGCTGTGTTTGCTTGCATGCTATGTTGCTTCAGTCATGTCTGACTCTTTGCGACCCGATGGACTGTAGGCCTCCAGGCTCCTCTGACCATGGAGTTCTCCAGGCAAGAATATTGGAGTCAGTTGCCATGCCCTTCTCTGGAGGATCTTCCTGACCCAGGGATCGAATTCTTATTCTTCCCCTTTATAAGTAATAAAATCAGATTTCAAAAGCAGAATGCTGAAGGTTGGTGGCTGACCCAGTCTTAACTAGGGTTCCTTTAACGTGGAAATATATGTGTGCCTCTCCAAGGGTGAATGTCCACAGCTATCATCAGATTCTTAAATGAGTCTAGGACTAAACATTACTAATAACCTGAAGTTTACGTGTCCCTGAGAAGCAGACTTTGGGACAGTGGAAAATGTGCATACTTTACCTTTTACCCCCGTCCGATAGGTGTGTTGAACATACTTCAGTCCTGACACAATATCCTTGTTCACCTGTAGGTGGGAAGGAGCCAAGTGATTCAGATTAAAGAGAGTCTTCAATTTTTCCTCATCTCTCATGCTGATCTGACCTAGCTGATGCTTCTCTGAGGATGAAGGACTGAAGATTTAGTTCAGAATAAGTTACTACCATCGTTTAGCCTGGCAATGAGGCAGAGATTAAAGAGAGGAAGTCACGAGACTTAGTGTTACCGAAACTGGTTCCAATTGTCGAACACCATGATTTCTGGTGTGGGTGAGGGTATGGTTAATTAGAACACTGTCTCAATATTCTATATTACATTTCTCCTTCCTCCATAGCCCAGAGAAGGGTCTTGAGCTCCTTCTTCCTGAAGACTGGCCATAATAAGATCTTTCTTGTTTTTACGTTACAAAGTCATTAATGGAAACTAATTATTATGTAAATATCTGAAAATTCTAATCTCAGAAATGATCCGAGCATATGAAAACAAACAGGGAGAAAAGTCGTGATGGAAAGTTGGACCTAGAAGATGATTTTGCTTGTAACCTAACTGTGATTGGAGTCTAGAGATGAGTCACAGGAAAACAACCCCCATGGCAATGAGGCAGAGATTAAAGAGAGGAAGTCACAAGACTTAGTGTTACTGAAGCTGGTTCCAATTGTAGAACACCATGATTTCTGGTGTGGGTGAGGGTATGGTTAATTAGAACACTGTCTCAGTATTCTATATTACATTTCTCCTTCCTCCATGGCCCAGAGAAGGGTCTTGAGCTCCTTCTCCCTGAAGACTGGCCATAAGATCTTTCTTGTTTTTACGTTACAAAGTCGTTAATGGAAACTAATTATTATGTAAATATCTGAAAATTCTAATCTCAGAAATGATCCACCGAGCATATGAAAACAAACAGGGAGAAAAGTCGTGATGGAAAATTGGACCTAGAAGATGATTTTGCTTGTAACCTAACTGTGATTGGAGTCTAGAGATGAGTCACAGGAAAACAACCCCCTTGGATGAAAATAATGGGTGAAATCCATTTGCCTCTGGCATATAGCTTGGATGGCTGTCATTCTCAGATGTTGTCTGGAATCTTGCCACTTTCCCAAGCTTTTCAGAGAAAATTTACTAAAGTGGAATGAAAATATAGACAGGTCAAGCACTTGATTTTTCCATGATTCATTCTACTTAGGGCTGAACTGGTCTGTTAATTTTATACCATGGTCATGTTTATACAAGCAAATTAAAGTGAGCATGGCACCATTAGCTGGATGCTTCGCTAATTGTTTACCCATGTAAGAATGAAAGCGTATTGTTTCTCCTGGACAATAACCAGGGCTCCGTTTTTGTTTTGGATAGAACAATTAAAGCAGTCTCTCAGTGATACATTTTGTTTTGTTGGCAGTGAGGTAGCATAGCCATGAATATTTCCTGCTTAGGTTTGGAACAATCACTCAGCAAAACCTGTAGCATAAAGCTATCAAAAGCAGACAGAAGGAAAAAAAGCTTCATTGAAGAAAGTGTGATAAAATGAAACCCGAACTTTCTAATTCTTCTAACTTCTGCGTGTGACTCATAGATATAGGGAAAAAACCCACATCCTTCTAGAAGCCTCTAAGCTGGTCTCCTGGGCATAGTAGAAGATATGGTCTGGTGGGTAAAAGACCAAAAAAAAAGACAGAAATGGTGGTGGAGTAGTAATAAGGACTTCAAAAAAGAAAGACTCTTGTTTTTCTACTGCTCCACAGATCTTCCGTTTAATATAAACATGGTTGAGATGGACAAAAGAAAAGTGTGAATATTCCTTGTTATTCCCTGCCTCTGCCTGCCCACCCTTCCTGATTGTCTTCCACCCCATGAAGAAGAAGCTTTGGGAACTAAAACCGAGAGCCAGATTTAGGGAGAAATAGAAATTAACAAAAAGTATGCCAATGTGATAATGCAAGAAATTTGATTTTTTTTCTTCTTCTGATTACAGAAAGAATTTAAACTTTATACAAATATACTGGGCCAGATACTTACTTTGAAGTTAATTTTTACTCTATATTCAACACCTTCCTTTAGGACAAAGTTTTCTTTTTTAAGGGCTTCCAGATCCCCTGTAGAAATGAATTTTAAAAGAGTTAATTCTCATTGGAAGCACATTCACAAGAAGATGAATGAAGTCGAAGCTCCTGAGCCATTTTCTGAACTCCTCAGAGCAACACGGCCCCCATGGTCCTCAGGCCAAAGAATGTTTGAAATTAGTCACTGCACAAACACACATTTGGAATGCCTGAAATCTTACAGCAGTTTCGAAAGATACATGATAGAGCTTTCTCGCCAAGTTTGACTGCAATCTTAAGAATACGCAAGACTTTATGCTTAAAGACTCTGCCCCCAGTCCTCAAATACATAGGAGAAAAATATTATGTAAGAATGCCAGCTATTTGTTTTTGTAGGTTTGTTAATGTATGTGGTGTTTTCTAAGCTTTAGAAAATGTGCTTTTTTGGTTCCTTTTTATCATTCTAAGAAATACATAAAATAAAAAAAATTTTAAAAATATACTTTTGTACTTAATTTTGCTTTTGCATTTGCAATTTCATACTTTTTTTTTCTTAAGGAAAAGAAAACTTATCACTTAAGTTCTAAAGGCTTCAGGCTCCATAAAACTGGCATCTGCCCCCTAATTCCTGTACCTTGGTTAGAGAGGTGGTCTTTGCTCCTTTCCCAAAGTGACCCTGTGTAATTTGACATTTGGGGTGACTGTGTGTGTTCTGCACAGTTTTGTGCAAAATTTCATGCATATAGCTGGCATCAGCCTCCTCTGTATACATCTAGGATTCTCTTCAGTAGCCTTTTTTTTTGGTGACAGAAAACCGAGGTTTTTTTGTTGCTGGGGAAAAGGGAGAGAGACCAAGTTTTCCCTGCAGGATCGATCATGAAGCCCTTCTGAACAGAGCAGTTTTCCTTAGCACCACTTCAGACCTTATCTTGCAAAATGGCGGTTATACCTGTTAACTTTACACAATTTCTCACAGGAAGAGGTCTGAGGCCCGGTGTGAGAGAGAATTCCTTTCTTGAGATGCTAGAACGTGGGGGTAGTTGAATGTGTGACTCTGCTCTAATGATTTCGGTTGAACAGGAAGTATGTCTTTTCAGCCTCCAATTTCCTCCCTCTGACAAAAAGCCCATATAAGGTAAAGAGTGGCTGTCTTACGAGAGGGGAACTACCTTGCTCCTAAGCTTACTGTTCTTTTGTCATGCTGTGTTCTGTCTCATGAGTCTATTTTCTGAATCTGGTAATAATATATTTTTTTTCCCCACTAAAGACCTGCCTTTGATGTCCCCAACCCCTGGCTTAGTGGCCTTTTCCTTATTTCTCCCAGTGGCCTACTTTCCCCCAAATCAGCCCCCTTTCCAGTTTCTCATCATCTCCTCCAGACCTAAGTCTCAGGAAAGGACTTGACCTTGGCAACAATAAAGTGAAAGAAAATAACATGTTAAGTTGTACATCTTTAGTGAGGGAAGTTGCTTATTTCAAAGAATCATAGTTTTAAGCTAAAAAAAATCCTGCAGATTTAACAATGGAATTCCTAGCATTAATCAGGAGGTCTTGGATTTCTTCTTGCCTTCAGGTAAGTTCTGTAGCTGATACAAGATCAATATTTTCTCTGATCTTTATATTGTGTGTGTGTGTGTTTGTGTGTGTGTGTGTGTGTACTCAGTTATGTCAGACTCTGTGATTCCGTGGACTGTAGTCTGCCAGGCTCCCCTGTCCGTGAGATTTCCCAGGCAAGAATACTGGAGTGGGTTGCCATTTCCTTCTCCAGGGGACCTCCCGACCTTCAAATGGTAAAATATTACCATTTCAGAAGCCTACAACTTGCTTCTTAATATTTTCATTAGCAGTCTTTTTCCATGAATAATAATTCTCCTATGCCATGTGGAGATAAAAATCTAAAATAAATATAATACAGGTAGACATATCAGGTACTCATGTTTGACCCCTTTCAATTAAATAGAAATGGAGGTTGGGCTTTTCATTAAGTATGGTAAATACTGTGAAAACAATGACTTGTGAGCTGGTCCCAGCATACCTTACTAGAATTCACCTTACTGTGTGCACGCGTGCTCAGTTGTGTCTGACTCTTTGCGACCCCATAAACTGTAGCTTACCAGGCTCCTCTGTCCATGGGATATCCCAGGCAAGAATACTGGAGTGGGTTGCTATGTCCTTCTCCAGGGGATCTTCCCAACCCAAAGATCAAACCCAAGTCTCCTGTGTCTCCTGCATTGGCAGGTGGATTCTTGACCACTGTGCTGCCTGGGAAGCTGTTTACTTTACTAGGTATTTTTCTTTTTGGCTGGGACAAGGGACAAAAACCATGCCCTTGTCCTTATGATGCCATGAGGCCCCACTAAACAGAAGAGCTGTAACCACTTACCAGTGAGGTCCATGGTGATTGGTCCTGGGGCACTTTCACAAACGAGGGTCAGGCGGGTGACCGTGACGTTGGGGGCTGTTGGGTCTGCAGGAATTAAAAGGCATTGTGAGCACAGAGAAGAGGCATATACATACAGTGTGTGTGTGTGTGTGTGTGTGTGTGTGTGTGTATACATTTCAAGTAGGAAAGAGAGATGAAAAAGAAAAATGGATCTCTGTCTCTAGAGGAGAAATAAAGACGGAAGTGGCAGATTCACCAGGCTTGGTCTTAGTGGCCTTGGACCTTCCTGTGATGCTATTTCTGCTTCAGGTAACTGTACGCCCACCTTATTCATCAATAGCAAACATTTCCCGAGTGGCTAGGGGTAAGGTACTCTGCTGGTTGGGCAGGGTGCATCCATATCTTTGGGTCATGTCTGACTCTGCCATTGTGTATTGGAAATGATGGATGTTAGGTAAGGAGTGGGAAGGAGAAAGAGAAGAGAGAATGTGAGAGACCATGGAGAGAATTCAATTCTTAGTAATAGTCTGAAACTCCTTCTAAATCCTTCCTACGTGTTATATATTTGTCTATTTCAAGGCAAAGTACGCCTTACCTCCAAAGAAAACTTGATTATCCATCTATAACTTGGTTTGGCACATGGAGGTTGCAGCTCACTCCCTTAACCTTAGAAGCTTGAGACCCTCTCCTGTGCATCTGCTCCTGAGTAGCTCAAATGTCTGCCTTCTCTGTGCCCCTCCACCTGTCCCACCCTGTCTCCTCACACACACATACCTGCGACCACAGGACCGTCCCCCAGGAGCGTTTTCTTGTACTTGGTTAGACTTTCGTCATCTTTGTCCATCTCCTGCAGCTCCTTCAGGGACTTCTGTGGGGGCGGCTTGTAGTTGAGCTTGCCATCCAGCTCATCATCATCCTCCTCCACGTGTGGTTCTGGGGCCTTTTCAGTCATTTTGATCTAGAGGGAGAGAGGAAAGAGAGACAGTGATGATCTGTTGGCCAAAAGTCCGTGGATATGAGCTATGCTTGAGGGGCTGCTCTTAGTCTTGTTGCTTTTTAGTCACTAAGTCCTGTCCAACTCTTTGCGATCCCACAGACTATATAAACTGCCAGGCTCCTCTGTCCATGGGATTTCCCAGACAAGAATACTGGAGTGGGTTGCCATTGCCTTCCCCAGGAGATCTTCCCAACCCAGGAATCAAACCAAGGTCTCCAGCATTGCAGGCAGAGTCTTTACCAGCTGAGCCACCAGGGAAGCCCACTCTTAGTGCTATTTTTGCCCTAATAAACTTCTGTAATTGTCAATGCTTTTCCAGGAGATTTCCCTCTGATTCAGCCTCATCCTATTTCACAAAATAAGAATATAATGCATTCTAGGTTTTCCTTTGACATGTTTGAATGTTTTCATATTGTGATGAATCCCTCCTATTCATGGAATGAAACTGACAGTAAGTAACTCACTTGTGAATTCTATAAAACAAGTGAAGCAACATAGCACAAGCTGTCCTGAACAATGAACGAACAGCCCCAGTTCAGAGAGTTATAGAAATGATCATAGTCCTACAAATCCAGCCAGTCTTGCAGGTGTCAAAGCGCTCAGCATGTATCAATACAATCCCAGTTATAATGGTGTCAAGTACTTGGTAAAGCAAATTAGTTTTTCCCCATTCATTGCATCTTTCCCTGAACTCCTGAAAAAACTCAAAGGCAACTCATGAGAAGTTTTAGGCCCCTGTGATATCTGCCTGAGTGTCCTCCCCCTGCCCCCAACATTGCTAACAATTCCCCAAGGCCATCTAGTGAGTTTTGTTTCTCTCTCCCTTTTTGGCTGCCCTGGGTCTTCACTGTATCATATGGGATCTAGTTCCCTGACCAGGGATCAAACCCAGGGCCCCTGCATTGGGAGCACAGAGTCTTAGCCACTGGACCACCAAGAAATTTCTTGAATCTCCCCAAACACTTGAATACTTGTCATTTTATAAGTGCTCATTGATTGGGTTAATAGGTTCTACATCTAATGAGCTTCTGTTTTTTTGAAATAACACAAAATAATAAAGGACTCCAACTTCTTCTAGACAAATTGCAACTGTCTCTTTAGTACCCTTCTATCCATCTCCACCTCTTCTTTAGTACCTCCTTCCCTTCTCTAGATCCCCTGTGACGTTATGCTCTGAGATCTCACCTGGGCATACCCTATTTTCTTCCTTCATCATCTGCATTTACTTGTTTTGTGTTAAAACATCAAGGAGAGATCTAATACAATTATTTATACGTAAGTGTTAATGACTGATTACAAATTTAAAAATTATTTTTCTTGAGGCATGTATATAGTCTGAGCTTTTCAGAGTTGAAATGAACCTTGGAGGTGATATAGTCCAAAAACTTGCTAGTCGCTCAGTCGTGTCCAACTCTTTGTGACCCTGTGGACTGTAGCCCACCAGACTCCTCTGTCCATGGAATTCTTCAGGCCATAATACTGGAGTGGGTAGCCATTCCCTTCCCCTCATTTTATCACTGAGCAACTAGAAACCCAGAGCTTAAGAGAATTGCCCAAGTTCATGTATCTCAATGAGATGCCCATTCTAATAAAGAGAAAGGAAATCTCTAGGAAGAATTTCGGGCCTGGGGTTGGCAGAAATGGAGCTCTTTGGGGGAAACACGGGAGATATTTAGACAAGGAGACAATTTCCTGGTTTCTTTTCATTCTGCTCCCAGGGTAACTCTCTTTCCTGCCTTGGGTAAAGGCTTTACTGTTCCAAAGTAGTAGAACTCTAAGACAATACCTATCACATCTCATCTTGAGTGGCTCTGCCAAGTTCTATAATGTTCCTGAGAGTGAAGCTATCTGTGGCCAAAATCAGTTGTAGTTTTGACTTTTAATGTTGCTGTTATTGGCAATGGGAAGAAAAATAATTTGGAAGTGAAGCCAAACAAAAGCAATTTTAACAGGGAAAAAAATGGAAAGGAAAAGAAATGATATCTCTTGGCTGATTTATCCTCTTCCAGAAAAATAACAAGCTGAACACTATGAGCCTTGATCAGCTCTGCAAACAGTATTGCATTGCTTGGGTCCACTTCCTGTGCAGGAAGGAAGCTTGTAGGCCTGTTGCTATGGCAACCCTTGCTTCTGCTGAAGAATCAGCACCACTCAGAGCTGAGCCTCTAGAGAACAGCACAATAAACAGAGTGACTAATTCAGGTCCCATTCCAAACAACACTCAGGGAAAGTGAATGAACTGGCTGGAAAAACGATGAAGGATGCAGTGGGTGGAGGTTGTAGGCTGTGGGTAGTTTAAGGACAACCATTAAGCCACAGATAAAGAACAACACAGATGAGACTAATTAGATGGGACAGGTTCTCCTCTGGTGACACCCAGGAGCCTGACCAAATACCCAGGGTAGAGGTCACGTAAAAAAACTGCAGACAGAATATCAGCAAAGCTATCACCATATGAGGACATCTCAGCACTGTAGAGAGGCCTTTCTGGAATGTATTACTTGGTTCTCACAAGTCATGTGCTTGAAGTTTGACTATGAGAGGATGACATCACATCCAGCCACTAATTAACTCAAGGTGATTTTAATAATCTGTAGGGAAATGACAACCCCCTCTAGTATTCCTGCTTAGAAAAATTCCATGGACAGAGGAACCTGGCAGGCTACAGTCCATGGGGTCATAAAGAGTCAGACATGATTGAGTGACTGAACACACACACACGGAATTATAATTCTGCACTCTCAAATCTCAATTTTGAAAGGAGAGGGAAACAGAGACAGAGAGAGAGAAAGATCTGGTCTAGGACAGTACTTTCTAACTTTTAATAGTGTCATACTTGGCAACAGAATTTATCTGTCATCTAGATCTTGATTTTTTAATTGGTAAGTCAGAGACATGTCACTTCTAAATTTCCTTAATCCACTGCAAATAGATATAATAATTGCTCTATGAAAATGAGCCACACATTTATTTAAAGACATTGAAGAGCAGAGAATAATGTGGGATTACGATATGAAATTGTGGCAGTCAAAAGGAGGAAATTTGGGACCACATGAAAATAATTTGGTATAATTATATAGCATAAGAAAAAGAGATATGAAGTCAGATGACTCCAAATCAGCTCACTCTGGAGAGCTGATTAGAATAAAGAAAAAAAAAAAGATGAAAATGTCATAAAATGACAAAGAAAGGACTGGAAAGCACTTCTCAGGGAAAGCTCTTCTGAAAGCAAAATGAAGGTCACAAATATTTGATGAGCATCTAGCATTTACAAGACACTGTTCTTTAGCACATACTGATGTTTAAGTTATTCTCCAAAGTGGAAAAAGTTGGGGGTTGTGCAATCTAGCCATACCAAAAAGGCCCAGCTGATTTGACTGGTGTTTCTTAAGCTTTCTGGAGATGGCAAGTCTCTTTAAAAATCTAGTAAGAGTCACAGTCTTTATAAAAGGTGAAAAGGAAAAGCCCATGGAATTGTGCACGCAGCACAGGGATTCATGGAGCCCTGAAGTCCTTCGTAGACTCTACTGGAGTCCGTGATTGAGAACGTGACCTTGAAACTATAACTTTTGCAAACAGTGAAGCAAAGCCTTGAGTGTTAAGTCTGGACTTCCCTGGTGGCTCAGATGGTAAAGCGTCTGCCTACAATGCGGGAGACTCAGGTTCAATCCCTGGGTTGGGAAGATCCTCTGGAGGAGGAAATGGCAACCCACTCCTGTACTCTTGCCTGGAAAATCCCATAGACGGGGGAGCGCTATAGGCTACAGTCCATGGGGTTGCAAAGAGTCGGACATGACTGAGAGACTGCACTTTCTTTTTCACCTTTTGCCTCTCTCTGAGGCCTGGCCAGACCAATGACATAACTCAGCCTCAAGCCAGGGATCATGTCTGTGAGCCTGAAACACTGGACCTGCAGAAGCAGGAGGCGATACTGGGTAACGTCTGGATCTTAGGGAACATGACCATAGTCCTGCAGAAGAGCAGTGGTTTGGGAAGTGTTCTGGGTAATCTACTTGATTTGGGATGATTATCCCCTCAATAAACTGGGCCTCATCACACATGAGTTTTCATTCTGGCTTTGCCACTAACTAGCTGTGACCCTGTGAGCAAATGTTCCAACTACTGTGATCTTCCTTTCCTCATCTTGGGAGGTGACAGGTTAGGGGAGACCATCTCTAGGTGCTTCCTTTTCTAAGGTTGCTACCTGTAGTCAGGTGTCAGCTCAGTTGTCATTCAGTTATCTTATTTCACCTGTATAAAAGGCCATCTGTCTCTGTTTTATTATTTCATATTGTTTATTTACACGAATTCCCCAAAGAGTCTGCATTTTCAATTTTACAATTCACTTCCAGGAAATTTCAGATTCTCCCAAAGCCCCAGCTGGTTAATAATATATCTTGACAACAGTTTCCCAAGCTAACTGTGTATGTATAGTGAACTACAAGTATCATTTTTCTCCTTTTAAAAATAGTTTAAAACTTTTTGTGTGTGTGTGTTTTGCTTGTTTTTGTTGTTGTTTGTTTGCTTGCTTTTTGGCTGTACCACGTGCCTTGCAGGATCTTCGTTTCCTGACCAGGGCTTGAACCCTGGCCACAGCAGCGAAACCACAGAGTCCTAGCCACTGGACCACTGGGGAACTCCCTCTTATTTCTCTTTTTATCCTTCCATCTTACAGGTGCTTGCTGAAGAATAGGAATTTTAGGCAAATGCCAGATTGCTTTCCAATTGCATCATCTAAAGAACAGTTTTTGTGTGTGTATTGGAGTATAGCCAATTAACCATGTTCTGATAATTTCAGGCGAACAATGAAGGGACTGTCATACATATACATGTATCCATTCCACCCCAAACTCCTGTCCCATCCAGGCTGCCACATAACATTGAGTAGAGTTCCCTGTGCTGTGTAGTAGGTGTGTGTTGGTTATCCATTCTAAGTATAGCAGTGTGTACATGCCCAACCCAAACTCCCTAATTCTTCCGTCTCCC